TTTACAGAGGTATCGAACTTCGTTGATTAAATTGGTGGTTTATACAAAGGTCGCTTCTATATAGCTTTTATAGAACCAGTTCCTGGGATGCTCTTTAATTTAAAATTATCATCGCCAAACTAGAACAGATAAAAGTAGGTAAATTGCATGCGTGCTATGTTTGTGTGTCACACAAACATAGGTCACGTTAAGTCTTAACTCCGGGTACATAAAAGCAATGAGTGCCACATTGAAGTCACACACAATATTATTATTCTCCAATCTTCATTATTTTAAATTAATTTAATTGAATTAATAAAAAATATAAAACTTAAATTTATTTTTTTTACAATATTTCACAATTATTTTGAAAGATTTTTCAAATTCAAATAATTTTAAAATTTTCCATAGTAACGTAAACAAACATTTTGACAAATTGGCCTTAAGCAGCTGATAATCAGCTGTGCTGATGAGTATACCTTCTTAATCTACCTTGTAACAGCTGTTCTACTTAATCCAATCATCAATAAATAAAAAAAAAACTTTTCAGTTTTAAACGAATAATGTTAAGCCGGTTTCAACGACTTCTACTTGCTCTAATTTTAATCACAATAAATTCAATAAAATGTAGTTATACTTACTTCGCTATAGAACAATGTCCCGGCACCGATGTTCCCAATATAAGACATCAAACACAATTCAACGAAATCTCGGTAATATTCTATTACACTCAATGGAGTGAGGAGAGTTTAGAAGCATTAAAACATTACAATGATGTGGCAGAACATTTTGGAGATCGGGTATATTTTGCAGCCGTAGATTGTTGGCATTTGGCGTGTAATTGCTCTAGAACTTTAACAACCACAGTGGGCTCGGGTTCTCCACACAAATGGCCAACATTGATGGTACATTACGGCCGTCAGGGACAATTGAAAATTCAATATAATGGTCTATTTACCTATAGAGCTATGGTGCAATTTCTAAAAAATGTCATGCAACCATTAGAACGTTTAGCAAGTAGACAGGAATTGGATCAAATGAAAGCGTCAACAGATGCCATTGTCCTGGGAGTATTTGAAAATGCAAATGTTAAGGAATTTAAACAGTACTTAATGGCATCATTAAAGTGGTTGGAGCATGACCCCATACGCTCGTATTGTTTTACAGTTAATTTTGTTAAACCTAATGACACCAACGTTAAAGTACCCAATTTATTATTACAAACTCATAAGACCAAAAAATCTTTTTTGGATTATCATGACTTCAAATGGAATGCCAGCAACATAGTGCATTGGTTACAAGATGATCTTAATGATGATTACAGTCTCCTGCATGGTTATAACACACCCATAACGATTGTCCAAAAAATGAAAAAGCAACCGGTATTGGTTATTTTTGTAAATCAGCCGCAACAATTCTTTGGCTACATGGAGAAATATGTGGACAAACAGCAGCACTTTACAAAGGCCGCATTAGCTTGTAAAAAGTCAACCAAAAGAAGAGATGAAATAGGCAATATCCAGCAAGTTATGCGCAATTTACCTATCTTTAGCGATAGTTCTTATTGTCATTATTATAACTCAGATATAGTATTGAAGAATCTTCATAATTATTATGAAATCAATCATTATATAAAAAGATATTTAAACAATTCGCCAATCCTGCTTTAAAACCAACAAATTTATAATCCCACTAAAGAAGTTTATGAACTATTAGATTTTTTCCAAGCCACAGACTGTATTCTGAAGAAAGATGTTGCTTTACAAACAACTTTACACATCAGTGTGGTCAAAAGATTGGAAGGTTACTTAAATAATGAACAACACCTCCAAAACAGCAATCGTTCCTTGGCTACGGTGCTATTGGATACACAACGTTATCAAGATTATTTGGAAAATCTTGATATAACTCCCACCCCCAAAAGTATGGCCACTGTTTTTCTAATAGACCAGGAAAAAGAAAATATGTTTGTCATGGAGGATACATTTGCCATGTACAATTTAATGGAATTTATTAAGAAGTTCTACAACAATGGTTTGACTAATTATTATAAAATAAAGAAAACATTCCAGCCAATAGCTTAACTCGTTCATCTTATACCTCTAACTATGATATGGAATTAAAACACTTAAATCGTGTAATATTTTTAAATAACCTACAACACAGCCACAATCAAACCTTAATAGTTTTAATATATTCACCTGATTGTGCTCTTTGCGGTAATATACAACATTCCTTCATACAACTCTCTTTATTACTACGTCATATTCCAGACTTGAAATTTATACGCATTAATGTCATGGAGAATGATTTACCTTGGCAATATAATATGCCTTTTCTGCCTGCTCTACTAGTATTTCCAGAGCAACGTTTTTTCGAGTCACGTATGTTTCCTTTACACTTAAAACCAGATATACGTAATGTTTTTGGTTTTATACTATCACAACTTAAGGCCCCGCAACAGGTTAGTCTTGTATTGGCCATGTGTCAGAAAGGTTCATTGCCAGCGGTTCACTCGCAA